ATACAATTATCACTGTACAAAATTAATTTTCGAAAATTCATTACATCAACATACCCTTCTATCGTACCAACTGCATGCCTTGAAACCTTACGTCTAGATTATCCGAATCCAAGCATCTCAATTCAGAACTTACAGCCAAGGATTCGATCCCGAGCACCTCGCAATGACTTCAGTGTTCCTCGACGATTTCTATATTTCCTGTAAGGGCTGCGTTTGACAAGCTTCTATAGGTCAACGCCGTCATATTCGCCGCCTGGAAGGATTCCCTCCTTGAAGCGATCGCCGTCCAAGCTCTTGAGTATCCATACTCACTCGACATGGTGTCTTTGATCTCGTGCGTGTCACACTATTAATGCCTCTTCCTACATAACAATAACCTAGTGTGGAGTAGCTCGCTACAATGTTGTATGCTGTTGTATTAGTAATTAAGGCAAGTGAAATTCAAGTGGTTGCGTGTGTGTATATTATGTGCACACGTAAGATCGTCGGGGTCAGGGAAACAGGAGTGTAGTAAATATGATTTTTATTTATTTGTGAGAGATTTAGATCAAAATCGAACCGCCAAAATAATATTACTCCAAATATAGGCTGTATTCAGAGTCGGCAAGATATACTCATATGAGGGCCCAAGTTGCCCTGGTTTTATGGAAAAAATACATAGTGAATACAGTGCCATTCGCCGCATTTTCTAAATCTCCTCTAATAGTCCAATATTTTCGGAGGTTCAGCATCACATCGGAACTGATCTGTTCAGGGAATGTTGTCCATTTTTTGAGCTTTATTGGCATTTACGGCTCGCTCTAGGAGTAATTATTTTGACATGACCCACTACCGGTACAAAGTCAGGAGATGATGAGTCATAAATTAAGTCGGAGATTCTCCGACTTCTCAATTCCTAATTTGAAATATTATTCCAAGACTCTTATTGGCTATATTTTGGCCTTTTTTTATTTCTCTTCTGGCCAATTTTTTATTTAGATTTAGAATTTTTGATGATTATAATTTAGGTCTTGAGTATTGCAACAGATCCGATTTAGAAATTATCATGATTTTGATGAAAATACAAGTGAAATGAGGTGATTTACAAGGCGTCTTAAAGGTATAGAACTAGCAGGCCTACCGAAAAACTGTCGTCGGGAGCAATAGACAGTTTTCCTTTTTCTTGAAATCGCGTGCGAAACATATTGGAATATCCTACTGCTAAGGATCGTGGCACTCGACCCATTTTAAGGCCCGATTTAGGTCGGAGAATCTCCGGATTTCAAAAAATATTTTTTGGTATTTTTTTTGGAACTCGGAGAGTCTCCGGGTTCAAGGTGGACTGGTGATATAATCGGTGTTGAGTGACGCGAACTGTAACACTGATTATATCTGTAACACACCTATCATACACACAAGAAACTACGGATACCAATGAGCTGGATTCAACTGCTGATCAGCTTTTGGAATCAGAGGAGGACGTGTAGGATTTACACTACGATGACGACGATAGACATGCGCGCATGCGCGCATGCATGAACATGCATGCATGCAAGCAGGCAGGCAGACCGTTTTTAATGCATGCATGCATGCATGCGAGCCAAAATGCATGAATGAATTGAAATGCATGCCGTTTTGAATTCATTCATGCATTTTGGCATGCGTGCTTGCAAACGTGCATGCATTTATTTTTACATGCATACAAACCAGAATGATGCATCCACAATTGTATACATGTCCAAAAACATCCGTGTCAAAACTCGAGCGATTTTAAAACTCGCTTCCAAATATTTCTTTTGACACACCGATTTACGTAAACCTGTAGCACATGGAGCGAAAATCTGCCAAATCTATTTTTCGAACATTTCCGCTAGGCATCCGTTGGACAAACGAAAAGTTGCAGGCGTTAAAGTTGACATTCTCATGGATATCCCTGTAATTTGATTGACTACATTTCATGAATTAAGACATGGGATCCCTGTCACCAATGTGGGCCCTGAGGGGATAAATATACTGCTAGAGCCTTTCGAGGCCCTTTATCTCAAAACAATCAAATTTGAGAATTTATAACCTAATCAAAACGCATAGATAATATTTCTTAACCATTCAAAACATACAAATGGTTGATGTATTGAGTCTCGCGCCTTACAAGCGACTGTGCTAATACGCTTAGAGTCATATACAAAGGAGAAACATGGTTGGCCATGAAACTAGCTCACCTAACTTTTGACGCATTGAACATGTTATAATGTTGAATAGCGGAAAAGTGATAAAAAAAGCATGGTGAAAATTTGCTACCGATTTAGCTAAAATCGGTGTTCAAACCAATTTGAAAACTGCACATTATGCTTTTATTTACATAGTGACTTTTGCTTTTACAAAAATATAATTTTAATTGTATATACATGTATTCTGGTGTATATGACTATATGTACAATATTTTCAGTAAAGTTTTTACGTTGTACTGTACATATTATCATATACTCTCTATGTATACCGCAAGTACCAAGACGACTCGAATATTGTGCCAATCAGAATGAATTATTCTGAAATAAGGGTATAGATAGAATCATCAGCAGGGCTTGATACTTCTATATTATTCGGGACCCGTGATCTCGGGGTTCACTTATTTATTATTATCATTCACTACTAGGTCACTAAGGTTTGAGCGATAACTAGTTTAGTTTGCTAATAGTCCAAATAAACCATTTGTGAATCAACGGATTACACGCTGCAGGCTGCACTTGCAGGCTGCACTTGCAGTCTGCACCTAACGTCAAAAAGGGTTACGTTAAACCGTTTATAGTTTGAAAAAATAACGGTTAAAGTTCAACTTTTATATCGTATATACAACAACCGATATTGTTCAGGTGCAGTTTTCTAGGTCATATATTTTGTCCTAAATTTGCTTCAATATATATATATATACGTGTCGGATAAGTTGAATATAAGTGTAGTTCTGAAGTACAAAATCCACGATTTCGACCATATAATATTGAGTTTATAAAAGTTAAACCGTTTATATATTAAAAAAATAACGGTTAACGTTAAACTTATATATCTACACTACGTATAACTTATTGACGTTAGGTCTGCTTTCTGCAGTCTGCACTGTCTGCAGTCTGCACTGTCTGCAGTCTGCAGCCTGCACTCTACAGCTAAGCTCATTAGTCATTACGTTATGGGGGTACGGAATAGAAGTTGAACGTAAACGCATATTTATTCATTTTTAAAACGTTATAACGATTATAACGTGGTCAGAAAGGCTTACCTAAGATCTTAATAGGACAGGTTTATATGGTGAAAACGTAACACATAAAAATGTTTAGACCCGCAAGGTGCACCTATGAGCATACAAAAGACCGCATATGGAATAAAGTTGAACGTAAACGTATATTTATTCGATTTATAAAATTTTAACAGAAAACGGTTTGAGGTTAGTGGCTGCAGTCTGCACACGAGTGCATATTTTAACTATTTGTAAATTTTGCTAAAAAAGACCAAATAGGAAATCGTTTGCTTGTTTTTATTTAAAATTATCAACTCTTTTTTAAATTTTGTAGTTGCTACATATGTATTAAATTTGCTATTCCCTTGTCAGACGTCAGGAATGTCCCTATACTGCACCAATGAACATAAATAAAATTTGACCGTACGGTTTATACTACTGTGTATACTATGGAGACATTCCTAGAGTCAGGATTGAAAAAAAACCCCCCCACATGTCAAATGAAAATCTGTCAAAAAACATACAAAAATATTTCAAAAATTCACCTTGATCCTCCCAATCTCAACTCTCAAGGAGTCTGAACCTAAGTTGAAAACGTTTTCCGATACAACGTTTATAAATAATTTTATTCTTCATTTACGTTCAATGTTTATGTACTAAATAGCATCTCATATATGACTGGGTGCATTCAAGAGGCCATGTCATGATTCCATTATGTCCTTAAATCTTAGCGCTAGAAATAGCCGCCAACTTGACGGGTCGGTATACGTGCAAGTGTTGCTGAAAACTCATTGGTTAATTTGAGCTATGTAGTCCGTTTCGTTGGAAATAGGTGAAAATTTCATTCACCATATTTGACCCTCAAAACGTTATATCGTTTATTTATTTTAAATATTCACCTTTACGTTGACCGTATATGTGTATATAGCGTAACATATTGTGATTAAGCTCTGGTCTGAACTGAACTCCAGTTTCAGCGGAGTCAACCTGTCGGCTCTCAGGAATCAGGACTCAGGGTCTCAGCTCTCAGGGTCTCAGCCAGCCAGGCTCTCATGCTCTCAGAGACTCAGGCTCTCAGCGACTGGATGTTTTTAAAAAGAAAAGAAAAAGATTTGCTTTCAAAAACACTTGGCTGTTTTAGTTTTAGTTTTTGTATTGTAATTTTAACACAAAATACAAACAACAATATTTACAAAAAAGTTTGTTTTGGACAAAATGTAAATACTAAAAAAATCAAAACAAAGAGTCTCCTGCTGCGAGTCCTGCCGACCTGCCCTGAGTTTGAGAGTGAGTGTCCTCCACCAGAGGCTCCTCCCCTCCTGTAATTTAATTGTAGGCTATATCATAGCCTTCCGATTTATTAGAGGGCTATGGCTAAATGGAACTTTGGAAGAGTAAATATACATATATATATTTTTGGAAACAAAACCAGCTGGGCCGCAAGCCCGCAAGTCCGCAACGTCGCAACATCCAATATATTTTTTTGCTGTTGTTCATAAAATTAAACAGCCCTCTAAAATGAACATATTATTTATTTGTAAATATCAACATAGCACTCTAAATTATATACAATAAAAATAAAAATATTCATATTTATTAAAAATTTGTTAATTTGAAAAAATACAACTAAAAAAAATCAAAAGAAATATTTTTATTTTGCTTTTTGTAAGAATTTTGTTTTTTTGAATACAGACTTGACACTATAAAAATATATAATATTGTGTTAAAAAATATGTATGAATATAGGTGGTTCGCGACACCGTCTTTTCAGTATTCCATTGTTGTTTGATAGGTGGCAATGAAAATGTTTTACAGAAATTGCGTCATTCTCGCATGCGCAGGTGCGGCAATCGCCATTGTATGCCAGGAAGCGAAAGTAGCGAAAGGATGGACATGCAGCGACTCGTCGAGGTCATACAATGATGCTGCTGAACAAACTGAAGTGGAGAGCGAATCGAGTTACGATATGAATTGCTGCAGCCAAGATGCCTGTGCAGTAGTAAGTAGCGGACGGGTTCTTCGTGTGCATACGCAGTGTCAGGCTTTACAATCCAACTCGACCTCTGCAACGTCTACACCCCCTTGGTGTCTACAGCAACAACCTGAGCTAACAAGCTGCGAAGTGTCTTATGGCTGCACCAGTTCGGATCCGGAATGCTTTTGCCACAAGAACAAGGAGACTGATCCGTTGTGTCAGGATTGTCACTACAACTATTGCGATACATGCATAGATCAGGCATCCACAAATTACAAACCTGTGCATCAGTCGCGCTGCATCAATTGCCAGGATGCCCACAACATCCCATCGATCGATTTTGTTTGCACACAGTGCGACAACGAAAAGGGATGCGTTACTGGTACATTGGCCGGCCAAACTAAGAATAGCAACGAGTTCCATGTTTTCGAAATGGAGTGGTACCAGAACAATGGCCTGTGGTCTATCAGAAAAACCACTGGCGTGGCGGTGAGTACTGATCAGAACTACATTAACAATCTTCCTGGCAGAAATGGTTGCACGGACGAGCGCAATGCCGAGAACCAATGTGTGGATTTAACACAAACTGTGTATCAGCTCGCATATCCGGAACCGACCTCAGTAGAGACTCCGTCGCCCACCCCGTCCCCACAAGAACCGACTCCCTCGCCCACTTCCGACTTGACTACTCTACTATAGCGTCCTCACAATCAAGTACTCCTTCGCCCACCCAGTCTGTTGGTGCGGTGACAGCAAGGACCACGCCACCTCTTTGTCAGCAAACCGGCAGTGATTTGTTAGTATGCGAAAGTACCTACCAGTGTAATTCCTTAGACCCCGATTGCGTTTGTTATAAGAACAAGGAAGTCGACTCGAATTGTCAGTACTGTCAGTCGAATGGTGCTTGCACCTATTTTTTTAAATGATAACTACACACCGGCAAGGAATTCAAGATGTGTAGATTGTCATGCAGCTCACAGTGATTCATCCGTCGGATTTGAGTGCACAAGGTGTGACAATGCTGTAGGATGCGCTCAAGGGACGTTGAACGGTCAAGCCGTGTATTCAGGTTTCAAGGTTTATGAGATGGAGTGGTTCCAGGAGGGCGGAGTGTGGTCAGTCCGCAAAACAACTGGAATTCCTATCCAACAAAATGGCCAGGATGCGGATCAGAGTTATATCTACAGTATTTCGAACAATGGATGCACCGACAGCAATTGCAACGAGTATACCGAACGTTTGGCGCAGGTATCGTGGTAGACTTTGGACCGATGATCGTGGGTTGCATGCAGTATAATAGCATATGGGTTGTATTTAGTAGAATATTATAAAGTTTTATAACACCTTGACAAATACATGTGGCTGACAGCCTCTCGCTAATCACAAATGCGGGGGAGTGTACATTTTGCATGCTTCCCGTGAGCGTACATCAAGTATATCTGGCCATTCAGGTACCGTGAGGTAAATATCAAACTGATATAAATTCCCTCAGCATTTGCGTGAATATGAATTTAGGTGTCTGTGGCGCACGTATCAACATGAATTGTCAACGGTCACCAAATTTGTGCAGTGGCGCAAGATGCTTTCTTTTATAGCCCGCTGGGCCATCTGACCGACTTCGGCACCACAACTGGAGAAAGTCAGGCCTGGAACCCTACTCCCCCTTAAAAAACAAAATTTTTTTCTATGAATGTGTATCGGGCATCAAGATTTGTCGCAAAAATTGATCCCAGTAGTGTGACGTGCACTTTTGCGCTGTGCCGTTGACTTCGATGTTATCCGACTAACTTCATTGCCGTAAGTACAGTGTAAGTTGACGGTGTGGATGTTAACATCTTTCAAAAAGGCGGAAAATGAAGTTATATACTGTACGTTATAAATATCGGTAGCGTATCTATCGTGCTCGCACTAGCTTTAAATATTTACTGAGAACAGCTAAAATCTAGCATCGAAGGCGCTGAAAATCACAGTAAAGGAGCAAAGAAGACGCCTAGAGCGCCTAGAATGATTGATCTGATGATGCTCGAACTCGGCGGCCGTGCTATCAATATGATAAAATCATAACCGCAGTCGAAAACGCACATCACACATACAATTCAACCAATATCCCTATGACACGATATGAAAGCTTCAAATGAATGAACTCTCCGTGATTTACCCATGCAAATTTCAAATGCGATAAACAGATATCAACCCAGAGAATTCAATTCTGGAAAGTGTTGTGATAATTTCATTGTTGTAGATTCATGTTTGATTATATATGTATTATAGAATCGTGTTTGATTTTATATATAAGATTTGTTTATCGGAAAAGGACGAAAAGAAATAAATCGGGTGATGATACAATATATATGGTCGAATCTCTCTGCCCTGCCTGTGATAATTACTGAAATTTTCTGTGGCTGCACCGTAGGATCTTCAAAAATTATTGCCCGCATCTGTTATGGTAGGAAGCCCAGTCGTAGGATTTACTAAACACTCGCCGACCGCTATTAAAATCTAATCCGTCTGCAAAGCTATCCTGTTCGTCCAAAGTTTTACCGAACAACAATCTAATAAACATTGCCAACCCAACACGAGACAGCTTTAAATAGTCAGAGAAATTCATTGTAGTAGTAGGATTATCGTGTGTATTATATAGAAATCGAGTATGCGATATAGTTAGTCTGGCATGTTCTCGGGCGACGCTCCAAGCGCGTTAAACATGAATTGTTCTGTAGCTTATACAGTATATATCGACTCTGCTTTGATATTCATAATTTTGCGCATAGAATGTTGATTCCGGGTGAAAGAATCCAGAATCAATAAAGGTGTGCGGATCAGACTCGCTCTCTCCTCACATGTCGCTGTAGTATTGACATAATCTCATTACCGCGTGGAACATCAATTGCTGATGACTGGAAGCTCACTGTCTCGCGGTTCTATTTCGACGTTTAGACCTAGGCTGTACATTTATATGTGGTAGGAAGAGATTAAAAGTAAATTCATTGAATCAAGATTAAAGTCTATAATTTTAGCAGTGATATGATAGTCAGCAGCATTCGCTCGTTGCGGGTAGTGTACCAATAAAATTGAGTGGGTAATGTACCAGTAAAATTGATAATTTGCTTGTAAGTCACCGCAGTCGATTCTAATTGTACTGATAAAAAATTGTTACATTTGAAGTTTTAGAACCGAAAATATAGCTATATACACATTGTACATACTCGCTTCTCACTATGAAGAAACTATCGGTTAACATCCTCTGGACAAACTATATGCAGGATGTGTGCTCATTTTCTACTATCTCGGACCCTGCTACTAGCTATGCACTGCAATATATCACACCCAGACACATATGCTATACATATAAAAATCGGATGCTATTGTTAAATTAGATTCATTTCTCAAGAGGATTATTTAACTTGAGTAAAACAGGTGTGCAAAATCCTGTTATACAGAATAACAAATAAAATGAGATTGATTCTCAAGAGGAATAATAATCTGGAGTAAAACAGGTGGTGGAAGTAAAGTTGTTACTCTATACCGCACGGTGCACATCTGATATGAATTCTGATGGGTACAAAAGACTTCTGAGTACTATGACCCACAAAGTTAAGCCAACCTGTTCAACAGCCAGTTCTGGACTGAGTTTTCTTGTCATCGCAGAGGGGTTGTTCGCATTGGACGATTGTTGAGCTTTTGTTGTATTTGTGGCATTCGCATCTGTCATGAGATTCGTGCCCACTCCGTTTAGCTTCCGATTCGAGACTTTGGATTGTTTTTTTTTCGCCTAAAATAATCATGGGAAAAATACTCGTCTGTATACGTAGGAATTTTATGCTGAGATCCGCAACCTCATTCTACTTAATGCAAGAATCAATTTAGTACGTTGTAATATACAAGACAAATGGCCCTTCAAGCGATCGAAGATACGCATATATTTGAGACTTGATCCAGGTTGCCACATCCAACTATTTAATTGACGTTCCCATGCTCACATCACTAAATCTGCCGCAATACGACAATTATAGGTAAACTACCCGGTACTCAGAAAAGGTCTACGCAGGACTTTCTTATATAAAAAATCGGAAACCTCATTATATTTCATGTAAAACCCTAATTGCACGTTGTTAAATAAACGACAAATAGCCCCTTAAACGAATACCCTTTTTTTAAATTTGACTTGATCCAGGCTGTCACGACCACCCATTTGAGTAACGATCCCATACTTAAATCACTAATCAACCGCAATTTACATTAAAAAAGACCTTCAAAACGAGCCATACAGGCATCACATTACGTATGGAATGGTAGCAAAGTCGCACTGTGAAGGTAGTAAAGTAGTCCACCCCACAGAAGAGCAGACAATACACGAAAATCTGAAACACGATGTCGGAGACGTCAACATGAAATTCGACACAAGTAAGCTTGGTTGAAAGTACAACATGCAACAACCAGCACAAAACTTACGACTCGTGCTGTGCTAACAATTTGTGCGTTAATCGGGATGTTCAATTCGTAGGTTACAGACCTTCATCGTTGTCAAAGGTATTGCTAGCATCGTGATCTCCGCCAGCCTTCTCCGTCACCTTGAGAGTCGACGTTCTCATAGCCTGTTAAAATGAACGTAACGCGATCGTGTTAGCAATTGGTTGCAAAAAGTGTACCGCAGGTTTGTATCAATACTTCCGAGCATGACTCGCACAAGTTTCATACTATCGTGTGTGTGTATGCATGTATAGCCACAAGCTTCACAAAATCAGCCAGCTGCTACACACGCAGGCATCCTCGTACATTCTGAGAGCGCACATACCTGTGACTTTGTCGTAGTGAAGTTAGCCTTGGCTTTCTCAGCTGCGGCAGTGGTTGCCACACTCGCCTTGGCGAGTCTCTTTGCTAGAAACTTCGGAGATGATTTGTTCGAGCTGACTTTCTGTGCACTCGAGGCCAATGTCTGCGCATTTATATGGATCATAGGAAGTTTGTAAGACTATCACGGAGGGTACAATTTTCGTGCTGGTTGCATTGTGCGAATACAAGCTGGTATAAAGACATTCATTCAAACCGGCTAACTTCCGTCTATAGGCCTTCGAATTCGCCACAGTCATACTCGGGTATATATATACGACCCTCATCCAAGCGATCTAAGCGCTTTTAACTTATGAACGAAATCCATGAGGATAGGAACCAATTGTCTATGCCATGAATGCATACAACACTTTCCACGGGTACTTGGGAGGTAGATGCATGCCTGATACTTGTCTGTCTCGAGGATCTTACACCCAGTTCAACAACATTTAGTTTAATCGGCAAACTAAACACTAACACAAAAACCCAGGGTACCAGTCTCAAAGCCTAAACTTGATTAAACGTAAGCCGTACAAAATAACTTGAACTATAAACACGCAAGAACCATCAAATAAGTACATACAGGCCGGCTTCTCATCTGCCTTGGGGCGTGTATGTCAATCTCTTTCTCCTCAATGGCTGTGTCGTAGAGAGCTTTGCCTCGCACATTTTCGTCCTCGCTATCATCTCCATCAATTTCGTCTTCAATTTTCCTACTGATATTTTTGGCAGGACTTTTTGAATATTGACTCTCACTCGTTTCTTCGTCGCTCGCACTGTTGATTTCACTGTCTGTATGTGTGTTTGCAGCGGCGGGTACCCGAATTTAGCGCATGGTTGGAAGCAATGATATGCTATGAAAAGTGTGTAATTTGGGGTAGAGTAACGTAGGCCGTACTAAATACAAATTGTGATTGCTTCAATACTCTTTGCGATTATTCCAGGTGCCATTGTGTTTATTGCGTTCATTGAGGCATAAAGCTGCATCACAGCAAGATATATGACAATATGACTCAGAGGCGACAAGAAAAACTCCGGAACTCGATTTCAAATTTATTGGAAAGACAGGCCGGTTTTTCTAATTTTTACATTGGAACACGTATCGTATTACTTGCAAGTGACATTTCCATAAGTTGGATGTATATTGCAACTTGAGGAGTTGAAACCTTTGTCCAAGTAAGTTGGTCACACTCAAACAATGTTAATAGCATCGGGATACAATCAAATAATGGTTGCAGTACAAATTCTTTTGGGCAATGAAGCTCGCGATTACCTTTGGAGATTGCACGACAATAATACGACAGTTACCTTCTTTGGCCTCTAGTTGATTCTTCCGCTTGCGTGGATGTAGCGCTGAGGCCTTCTTCGCCTTGTGTTTGGGTTTGGCTTTAGATTTTGCTTTCGCACCTACTTTCCCATGCGCTTTTGGCTTGTGGGGTGACTTTAGCAACCCATCTGCAACACACCAATAAGTTACACACCAAAATAGGCAAAAATCAACATCTTGATCAGCTGTATGGGCAGAGCTCGGCATGCTGTCCATGCGAGTTTAAACAAAAAAATAAGCCCAATCAAGTCACATACCTTCGGCTTCGATCGGGCTCTGAGAGTGCGATGTTGCTGAACTTGTGAGAGTGGGTTGCCATTGGAAGCCTATTATATGGTCCAGACAGAAACTGCATCAGAAGCTAAGAATATGCATGTCGGATGTACTTGTACTGAGGAATTATATATATATATATATGCACGTCTGAGGATTTTATTGCGGGGTTTATGCTTTTACCTCGAAAGGAGAATCTTTCTCTATCGCAAATACCTTGAAACGCCACTCGACCAGCAGCAAACGTATCAAATGTTAGTGCTAACCGAGGTCGAAATAATACTGTGCTTCGGAGAACTCGGGAGCCGTTTTCTTCATCATTTTCAAATACCGCGCTCACATTTGCAATGGTAAAAAATTCGTTGATAACTGGTGTTGTACATTTCAAAAACAATAAACTATGCATGGATACAATCACCACATAGTGGTAACAAACAACGGCAACACTATAACCTACCAAAAAGTACTCCCTCCTACTGCATAGGTGTTCATAAAATATTTATTTGCACACGTTCGCACGTTCGCTACTTGGACCTATCAATCAGCAGATACGTGCATATAATACAATGTTATCATACAGTAATAGATATATAGATATATGGACATATACACACACACACACATATATATACACATACATGTATGCATACATACATACATACATATATATATAATATTGTATCCGCATGCTCCGGTAGATTATTGGTCAATATACCTAGTTCTGCGTACAAAGCCATATCTAATCAACTCACCTGCCCCTAGGTCAGCCTTATCGTTTCCTTTGACTTTCCCATTGGTTACCCGTTTCGCTTTCTTCTTCGGCGGCGATGTTTCATCGTCCACCTCGCTCTCACTCTCGTCGTACTCAACCACCGATTGATCTGGTACATTTTTGCCGCGTTGGTCCTTCTTGGTTGTGAGGTTATCGTCCGTTTCCTCATCACTTTCTGACTTGGAATGCACCTTCATAGTTCCGATCGCGGGCTTCGCTCCCCGCGGTGCTTGTCTGTAGGTACAGGTGATAAATATGCGTAAGTGTTTGCTGATACTTGATATTATTAAAATTTAGCAATATCCGAAATATGAAAGCCCGTAGGAGCGGTAGCTTATCTACATGTGTAGCAATGCCAACTACAAATATCTTCCGAAGAATATTAAAATTGTCATACCGTGACAAAGCCAGTGATACATTTTGAATCCTTGAACTACAATTATCGGGTCGCCACAGGCGGATATATTCACACTTACTACATGATTGATCTACAATTAAACCTGAATCAACTCAGAATTTCACACCCTCAGATCTACAGACACACGCATACAAAATATCGCATCTCGATTTAAATTAGTTTATCAACTAACCTTCGCGACGCCGCTACAGGGATCTTTTCCTTCTTCACTTGTGGTGCTTTGGTAAGAGAATCTATGCGTTTTCTCTTTGTCGCCATACTATTCGCGGCGGCAAGTTTTGTGACTTTCTTCGTGAGATTTGACTTGGGGGTGATCGCTTTTGTCTTCGCCTTGCTGTTCTTTATGACTGCTTTTTCCTGGTTTATACACATTGCGAAGATGATTTGCTTTAAAATACAGATGTGTGTAAAATCACTGTGCGCAAAAATTCAAGCAGACAGGCAGACAAAGTGAAAACCATTGATATGAAGAGTTTGTTATCTAGCAGACTCCAGAATCCGTGAATGAACATATAGAGCAAGTCTTGGTCGTCAGCATACCCAGTCGACAAAGATAAAGAAATCTCATGCTTGCAAGAATTAAACCTATTTTCTATAGCAAAGATAGCTTTGAATCTTTAAATGAAGTCCGATAACAGAAGGATTGTAAAAGTATAGACTATACAACTATGTCAAAATTCCAAACACCTCCATATGCGCGCACAGGAAGAATTCGTCACACATAGAATTATGGTAGCAATCAGCCTTAGCTATTATACCTTTGTTTCTCCCAGTTCAAAATCTGCCGGAAGATACGACTGGTTATTCGCTGCCGCCTATGTGGTCAATGATTTTGGTGGTTTAGTTTGAGTGACCTTTTTTATAAAATAGTATAACTACCGAAATGCATGCAATTGGTCGGAATTTCGAACTAGGCACCCCTAAACTGTAGATCTACACGGATTACGAACGCATCAGAAGATGCCGTACTTCCTCGAGACTAAACATTGTGGAGCAACCGTGAATAGCCCATGCCTCGATACGCGCAAACAGAAACGTATCAATACAGCACATCACAAGCCATATAACAAGATTCCACTGGATTCTCCACCCAACCACAGAGCAATGATTTCTACTTCCGACCCTTGAGACATGCACATGTATTGCTATCATAACTAAATATGACCCCTGGCTTGCGTCCTATCATCTTAAAAAACTATATCAACAAAGAAAATGAGATCACAATCTGGTGGTGGGTTGAGAAACAGCACCCAGCAACAGAAAACATCTTGCGGTTCAACGAGATCGCATTTTGAAAGAATAAGTCGCTCCTCACGACACTACTGTAGTCGTCAGCACTTCTCAAACAGCTACGAGCTGTCGCTTTTGCGTAGTACGTGAGTTCTCATCTTGTAGTCGAGCAGGAGATATTTATAATAACATAACAAATGTTGCGCACTGAGAATTTTACAAGCAAACATTCGGTCTGGGTTACTCTGCATGAATTCAATCCGAGCTTGTCTGGAGTTTAGCACTATAGCACACACCTTCCGATCCGAGCTATCGGTTTTGAGTAGTACGAGAGCTTTCATCTTGCAGTCGAGCATGAGACACTATAAATACACTCCGATTAAGTATTGCGCCGTGGTAATTTTACAAGCTGTAGTTGGGTCCGGTTTACTCTGCATGCATTCAATCCGTACATGTCTGGAGGTTATGACAATAGTACACACCTTCCGATCCATAGAGAAGAAGCCAGAGGGTAGTTTGATTTTTGAGGGAAACGGCTGTATAATCCAGTTCTTGATGTTCCGGTGTGCGCAGTTGGTGATCATCAACGTCGCGAGGTCGCAAACAACGTACAAGTCCTAAATCAATTCTCGTATCCATTATTGCTCAATGTCAGAAACTTTCCAGATAACGTGTAGATATATGATCATATCGGTATTTCGATGTATATGTAAATGTAAACGTAAATGAATGAATATATGCATACACACACACACACACACATATATATATATAAATGTTATATATATATAT